TAAAAATCGCTATGTGTGCGCCGGGCTTTAGGGCGTCGATTCAGCACCAGCTCGCCTTAGGGCGTCCAGTCAGCAGCAGCTCGCCTTAGGCCGTCCAGTCAGCAGCAGCTTGCCTTTGAACGTCCAGTCAGCAGCAGCCAGCAGCGAGCCAGCTGTTATACACATGTATACATGTTACACGCTCGCGGAGGTATGCACTCTCTTTGAGTGCCCTCTGTCTAGTTTACTTTGTGCTCAGCTAGCTGTGCTAGCTGAATGCAGAGTGTCACGTTTAGAAGCTTTAGGCACCCTCATGTAGTCTCTGTCTTCACACTGATTCCTGCCATATGGGGCAAATGGTGATTCAATGGGGTTGTTGTTGCTGTACGTTTGAGTTAAAGCGTGTATTGCGAGAATTTTCCAGTGTTTTCTCCACTTTCATGATACCTACCGTTATTGCTTGAGTAACAGCAATTGTCTAGAGTAACAATAAAATGTCTTAGAACCTTCGTATTCACCGAAAACCGCCAGTTTCGAACTAATCGTTTTTGTAAACATTCGTTTTCTGTCATCTTGAACTAACAGGAATTATGGATTAGCTTGTGGCGCCACCGCTTATCTGCCATACCCACAGTACAGGCAGCCACTTGTTTTCAATTCATCACCGACACAAATACAAGTTTACCAATTCTGCCATTAGGCATTGTCTCGACACGATAAAATGCATTGCTGTTACGATGTGTTCATATCCAATTTTCTATGCTATAACTGCATAAAATCTTAGTATTTTTAATGTTGGTGTAATCGGTGATATTTTCGCTGTCAGGTGAGACTATATTCAGCTATATGTAGTTTTTCTGAGCAAAAATCTCGCAATACACACTTTAATATTCTCATGCTGCTAATCTAGCATTGCTAACATGCCGCCTGATTTCATGCATTGCAGGTGATTCCAGTGACGATGCACACTGTCAGTGGTGGCAGCGGAGTGAAGATCGCTCAGTGTCTGGAGAACATGGTGGGAGCTGTTCGCACCAAAGTTTTGGAGGTACGTGTGTCACTGTACATAACTCCTCGACTCGGCCAGCTGTCTTCTCTATGATCTGCTGACTGCTGCGATGTTCATATAAAGCGCTCACAGCTATAAGCTTGATCGTATCTGTTGGTTGCTGTAACCTTGATGTGCTCAGTCATTCCTTCGATTTGCTGCGGTGGTTGTCCACTGCAGTCATTATTGCTGTACTATGCTTAACCAGTTAACACGTTCAACGCAAAACACGAGTATACTCGTTCGAACCTGCAAAACGCACGACCGCGAAACACAGGTATACTCGTGGCAAAAAACAAAACAAAAATTTTGGAACGTTTACTATGTTCTTCTATAGATGGCAGGGGCTGTACGCTTAGAAATTCAACAGCGTCAGTGTATAAACCCCAGTCGTAGATGAAATAATTTATACAATGCTTTACTGTTGGTTGGAACGTTATTTTGGAAGTTTTTGGGACTGAGGTAATGTTTTTGGTTCACCTCGCCAAAGGGTGTTTGACCGCCAGTTGTTGTGAAGTTGTTTTGATGTCTAAGAGTTGTGTTTGATTTGATTGATCACCGGTGATTGATCACGGGTGTTGTTTTGATGTCTGAGAGTAAGTTTATATCTATATTATACTAGCCACTAATTATAAATAATTTTATAGCTAGTTAAACCTGCCAAAAACATTTTGTGTAATAAGTGACTAAGCGGGGAAAATGCGAAACTTTTAGCACAGGGCGGTAGGTACATTGTTAACCATGCAGCGTTGAACGTGTTAACAAGCCTCCTCTGAATAAAACTTGCACTGATGTGTGTATAGCTTAGCAGATACCGATAGCAGTGTCGTATGACATACTCAGCCAACTTTATTTGAGATGGCAAAGAAGTGGCAGTATCTGACATTTCCCGACTTGTTAATCATTTGGTGTTATTTTTCTTTAGCTGCAGAGCCACTTTTCCAACCGTCCAGTTGTGCTGTTGGGGTGGGGCGTTGGCTCTCTGGTGGCATGTCACGTAAGATATAATTGATTTGGTAGTTGAAGTTGCAGGTGCGCATGTACACCGAATGCTGGTTACCTATGTGTCACTAATGTTTATTTCCTTACTCAAATGTACATGTCATTTCTGGGATCGATATCCAGCGACCAGCATGCATTCTTGCATTTGATTAATTGATTTTTCTAATCGATTTTCCGTGTTTGTTCATAGGTGGCGTTAGTAGAACATGTGACAGCTGTCGTGTGCTTGGGATTTCCCTTCATGGGAATAAACGGTGGCAGAGGGGTAAGCAAATATCAACCAGCTTCAACCTCTGACTCAGCTTCAACAATCAATCCTCAATCCTGCACCGGTGTTTTTCCTGTGAAAGTCTTTGCGAAAATTTCTGCATATATGTTAAGTTTTCATGCATTAAAAAAACTTTTGATGTTTACGTCTCGGCAGGACGTCGATGATGTGCTTCTCGAGTGTCAAGTGCCCGTACTTTTCGTGCTTGGACAGAATGCTTCAACCTGCAATGTAGATGACATGGAAGGTAAAATCTTCTCACATTGTCCCCACCCTTTTACCAAGGTGTTTACCTGCGGCCGGTTTCACGAAGCATGATTCACTTTAATTATGATTAAATCACTAATCATACTTAACATCCTGTAATTATGATTAGTAATTAGTTAATCATACTTAAAAATCTGTTTCACGAAGCGATTTAAGTACAGCGAATGAAACATGAATTACACTGTATTCAAAATGACGGACAACGCCAAAAGTATCTGCAAATTCGGTACATGAAAATGAATTAATTTGCAATTATAATGACTAAATTAGTACAGCTAATCTTAGATAATTTAAATTTTCTTGGGAAAAAATTGAAGTAAAATTTCCAATTGTAAAATCTGCTACCTACTTAATATACTAGTACTACCTACATACTACTACTTGTACTAGCAACTAATCTTGATTAGTGGATTTAATCATGCTCCTGAGTAAAATTAAATATTGTGATTAACTTAACCATGATTAAAGTTAATTACGCTTTGTGAAACAGTCCCTTCAATTTAAGTACGAGAAGTTAATCATTATTAGTGATTTAATCATGATTAAGGACTTAATTACGCTTCGTGAAACCGGCCCCTGGGTTTTGGCACTCGGAGATGATACTCTGATGCACTTACACATGGGGGAAAATTTGGCTCCTGTTTGCTTTTTGGTGAAGTCGTGATCGATTCCATGCGTCACTTTTTTGTAATAGAGTAGAGGGTAGTGTAAGTCACGGGAAAATTGTAGTGGATGAGTTTCAAGTACAGCTGGGACGCTCAGAATGCAGTGTAACAGTTCGTTGTCTGCTGCAGACTTTCGTGAGAAGATGAAAGCCGATAACAGCCTGGTCGTGGTGGGAGGAGCAGACGACCTTCTGCGAGTGACGCGCGCAAAGAAGAAGCTAGAGGGCGTGACACAGAGCATGATTGATAGATGCATTATGGTACATACATTATAATCGTATAACCTGTTTCCAACCTGGCCGCCTCTAATCATTGGTGGTCTGCATATTTGCTAGCATTGCATAACATGGTAGTAACAACAAGTGTATAAATGATACGCATTGGGATTCTTTAAGATTTGGGTTCTTAAGCCTGACGCACACGTGAGTTATTTTACTCAAGTAAAATGACGCATGAGTCATTTTACTCACGTGTGCAGTGGATTTTCGTTGAGTAATTTGACTCATGCGTCATTTTACTTGAGTAAAATAACTCACGTGTGCGCCTGGCTTTAGATGCAATTTTTGGTTAATTTACACATATCCTGAGAACTACGCTCCTATGTTGCTATCTGGTTCGTTTTAGGATTTGATTTTGTAGCATGTCCTTCACTTACCCAATGCGATTTTTACTGTAGCAATTTTTTGTGATCTGTGTGCATGTCAGTTGCTGAATGTCTCGCATGTTTCTTGATGAATGCTTTGCGAAGAATCGCAAACTTGTGATGTGTGGCTTTCAGGACGAGATCGGAGACTTTCTTGGCGGTGTCGTCTCGCAGTCTTCCGCCGCGACCCCAGAGGCAGAGTTGCCGTCACCAACAGAGGTGGACAAGCGTAGGACGCCGAAGAAGCGGCGATCGTCTCGAGAGCTTGCTGCCGGCCACACTCAGAGTGTGAAATCTCCCGCCCGCTCGCCTGCCACAACCACAACTCTGGTACGGCTCTTCCTCCATCTATCGTTCACGCGTTCTAGAGTTTTTGCATCACAGCTCTCATTAGCTGCCTTGATTTCCGAATGCTAATCGTGTTTGGTCATTTCGCTTTTCTGATTGGCTGGACAATGCGCCGGACAATATATTGGTCTCGGGACGTGCTATCGTCAGTGTATAAAAAAGTTACTGCTCACTTTTCATTTATGTAACCTGCCTTTCTACGTGCAGACCGGCTTGCGAGGGGGAGTCGTGTCTAATACAGGAAACACACTAACCAGCATTGGATCCCCAGCGGCGTTATCCCTACAGGCTTCTATACTGGCGCTCAGCAAGGATGGTGCCACGACCAAGAGTAAGTGTGATAGCTTTCCTTGCAATGATGAGCTTCAGGTGTGTGAGTGTGAATCACCTAATCAAGTTGGTCATCTTGGTGTTTCTTGTTCCTGTCAATTTTCATTGTTGTTGTTGGTGTAACCTCACCGTTGGTATTTCCCAAGTGTAAGGACTACTAGTAGCTGGTATATTATTGTCACATACTATACCAGGTAGAGTAGTAATAAAATCTATGTAGTACTGGATCCTACCAATTACATTGCCATCTTTGTCGACTCTCTTACATTACGATTCACTGTGAGTGAACAGTACCACTGCATTAGGTACTTTTAAGCGATATCATCTGCCCGCTCATATCTTGTAAAGAAATGTTGTAAAGGCAACTGTCAAGTAAGATTTTGCTCATAAAAGCATTTTAATCGTCCTTCTAATTTTTGGCTTCTGTGTTTCCAGCCAAGCGCACGTACAAACGAAGGCAGCCGAAGAGTCCCCTAGACTCTCTCCCCGTGGGTGGAAAGCGGGGACGACCCCCCAATGATGGTGCGACGAGTGCATCTGCCAAACAAATCGTCACCTCGTATAATAAGGTGATTGGACAGGCTGGACCAGCACGTGCCAGCACTGCGGGACAACCTGGCAGTCTCCTTCAGGGCCTCAGCTTCAATCTTCAGAGCACGAGTACAGAGTCGCCGGTAGCGTCACCGACTAAGCCTGTCCTGCAGACGACGATCGGCTACTACCAGGGTTCACTGTCCTACATGCCCACGTCGAAGACGCCGACGTGCGTGGCTCTCACAACGCCCACGATTCAGCACCTCCTACAGTCGGGCATACCCCGCTCGACCAGCGGCCAAACTCTGACGCAGGGGTCTGTCGTCGTCACCCCGTCTGTCCTTGCGCAGTCCCCTGTGGTGGCGCCGCGCATCGTACAGGCGCCGCAGCGTGGCCGGACGAGCGGCGGCCCGCAAAAGGTGCTGTACCACGACTTCCCGCTGACCGGCGGCGGATTCAAGCCGGCGGCCGGCGCGCACCCGAAGATACTGACCGTCGGCGAGCGGCCAAAGCCGGCCACCGTGCACGTAGCGGTCGGGCGGCCGGCGGCAGCAGCGGCGGCGGCCGCTCGACCCGCGGGCCGCGGGCGCCCGCCGCCTCCGACGTGCGGCGCGCAGACGACGGCGGTCGGCTCGCTATCGATCGCCGCGCTGCTGGGTCACATCAAGGCGACGTCGACGAGCGGCGGGCAGGCCTACCACGTGCGCTTCACGGGCCCCGGCGGCGCGGCGGCGTCCCCAACGCTGCGCGCAGCTCCCGTCGCGTACGCGCCCGTGCGCGCGCCGGCGACGCCTGCCGTGTCGGACAGCGTCACACGGCCGCTGAGCATCGACATTCCACGGCAGGAGGCGGCCGAGTTGGTCGGCACGAGCAAGCTGTTGCAGACGCTCACTGCGGGAAAGCTGAGGGACGAGGCAGCGGCAGCCCAGCAGGCAGCCCTGCAGACAGCGAAGGAAGCTGAAGCTCCTCAGTCATCGCAGCATTCAAGTCGAGAGAAGTCACCGCTGCGGACGTCGCAAAATGGAACCAAACAACCGATGCAACTGGTGGCCCAACAGGCAGCGCAACAAAAATCAACAAAGCAATTGACTAGTCAACTTTCACAGCCACTGACCACCCTGCTGACAGCCAAGCAGGTTACACAGCAGACAGTGGAACAGCCAGCCCAGCAAGCAAACTCACAGACAGAGCAAGCAACCCAGCAGACCAAACAATCTCCAACCCAGCAGACAGCACAGCAGCAAATACAGCTAGCAACTCCACAGACAGCACAATCAGAGCCTCCAACCATACAGGCAACCCTACAAGCGACCCAACAGACGACAGAGCAGCCAGCCCAACAAGCAACACCACAGGCAGCACAACCTCAGGCCCAGCAAGCAAGCTCGCAGCCAGCACAAAAGCTAGATCAACAAACCACACAACAGCCAGCCCAGCAAGCAACACCACAGACAGCACAACCTCAGGCCCAGCAAGCAAGCTCGCAGACAGAGCAGCCTCAAGCCCAGCTAGCAAACCCACAGACAGCACAATCTGAAGTTCAGAACGCAACCCCACAGACAACACAATCTGAAGTTCAGAACGCAACCCCACAGACAACACAATCTGAAGCTCAGAAAGCAACTCCACAGGCAGCACACTCTCAAGCTCAGAGAGCAACCCTACATATAGTGGAAAAGACACCACAACAAGTAACGCAACAGACAGCACAACAAGCTGCCCAGCAAGCAAACCCGCAGACAGCACAACAGGCTGCCCAGCAAGTAACCCCACAGACAGCACAACAGGCTGCCCAGCAAGTAACCTCACAGACAGCACAACAGGCTGCCCAGCAAGTAACCTCACAGACAGCACAACAGGCTGCCCAGCAAGCAAACCCACAGACAGCACAACAGGCTGCCCAGCAAGCAAACCCACAGACAACACAACAGGCCGCCCAGCAAGTAACCTCACAGACAACACAAGCTGCCCAGCAAGTAACCCCACAGACAGCACAACAGGCTGACCAGCAAGTAAACCCACAGACAACACAACAGGCTGCCCAGCAAGTAAACCCACAGACAACACAACAGGCCGCCCAGCAAGTAACCTCACAGACAACACAAGCTGCCCAGCAAGTAACCCCACAGACAGCACAGCAGGCTGCCCAGCAAGTAAACCCACAGACACCACAACAGACAGTTCAACAGACACTCCACCATGCGGCCAAGCAGGCAGTTCAACAGGCTGGCTCTTCACACAAAGCAGGCAGTGTTGAGGATGATGAAGATGTCGCAAAGGTGCCAGTGTCATCCTCTGTGAGCAAGGCCCTTGAGCACCTACGCAAGGGCTCACCTATCCAACTGCTTGTAAGCCAAGCAGCAGAATCGAAGCTGAAAGAGAAGACAGCAATATTGGTGACTGAAACAAACGCACCGGTCGTGCCAGCACCTACGACTACATCGGCTATGTCATCGCTCGTCACCTCCCCGTCGACACAGACTCCAGCCGGGAGGGTAGCGTCTCCGACGGTGGTGGCAAGTCAGACCGATTGTCAAGTCTTGGCAACGGTTACGATGGAAGACAGTACTGAAAACACTGCCGGTGAGAGCACATCTACACAGCAACAGCAGACAGGACAGCAAGCTGTGGAAGAGGTCCTTGTTTGCAAAGGCAGAAAAGATCAGGAGACACCGACGAGGTGGCCGAAGCTTTTCCAACCAGCTCCAGCTGAAACGGGTATAGTTTTGACAGATAGTGCTAGGCCAGGCAAAGAAATGCCGACGGTTTTACCTAAGCAACTTGATAAGGAAGACGTTGTTGATCTCACGTATTCTCCACCGCAGACTACAGCCGTTTCGAAAACGAAAATGGTCGATTCTGCCAGGATTGTTCCAGTGCTTTCAGCTGAGAAGCATCCCGGTCCTGAAGAAACTGCTGCCGATTCAGGATTGATGTTGCTAGCATCCGCAGCAGCAGGGACGTCATCTCGTTTGCCACACTCCCATGTAGCGAGTGATTCATCTGTATTACAGAGCACCTCCCGCATGCCTGAACCTGCACCATTGAGCCACCACGCTGCGATGGATTCTTTGCTTACACGAGAAATTTCACCGACCACAGACGTGTCGTCAGGCAGGTTAGTGGCATTGGCAGACTCGAGTTCCATGACAGCATCGCCCATTGCGATGGCATCATCACAACTGATCTTGGAGTCGGTGTCGAGTACTAACGCTGTGGATAACTCGGCAAATCGGTCTGTGGTTTCTACGCCGTCTTTGCCGGACGCCATTTTGGATCCAGGTGACCCAGCGTCTGGCACGGAATCCGTATCAGAAAGCGAGTCCTCTTCGTCGGCACCACCGGAACCATCTTCTCAACAAGTGGCTTTAGATTGTAGGGATCCGACAGCACCCTCTGTTGGCAACCCGGCCATGTCAAAGTCGAACAAAGGTTCGATTCCGTTTCCAACAATCGCTGCAACACGAACACGTAGATCAAAGACTACTCGCAGCTACTTCTGAGCATTGTAGGTGAGCTCAGTTATGACTAGAACGTTATTAGCATGCTTAGTGTAACCATCGGACAGTTAAGGCATGGTGGATAAAATGTTGTGTTTTTAGTGTCGTAAAATTCTATTATACTATATTTCTTCCTTACGGATTATTGATTGTACCTACGTTATTGGCAAATTCGCCACGGGCATGAATCATTATTGGAAAATATATTAGATAGTGGTTTACTTATCACGAGGCGCCTCTATGTACTTTGCACGTGACAGCACGAATATACTCTGCCACATGTGGATACATGCGTGTTTCTTCAGATTTATAGATTAAATCATCGAAATTGATAGTTATTCTGCTTGGCTTTTCGTTTGTAACTGTATATAAATGTATATTAAAAAAATGGAAACCAATACCTTTATGTTAAAGATGTTAAAATGAAAAGGAATTGTGTGCAAGAATAGAGAATAGACATCTATTCTTTACTTTTAGTATATTAATAATTGTGATAACCCTATGATAACCTGATTGCCACTTGACACGATCACCATAACATCAGGAGTCTATCAATATATATATATTAATAGACTCCTGCCAGCCTGATAACATTTAACCTTGCATCGAGTGCCGATGCAAACTGCATTTATTTCAAGTTACAGCCGAGTAGTGGTAGTCTGGCTAGCTAATAATTACTTAATAATGGCTATATTTTATATTCGTATATTCGTATTCGTATTTTCTATACGTATATGAAAACAACCATTGCTTCTGCTCAAAAATATTCTGAATCACAATCATTAGTTCATTGATTATGCATATCAAAGAAAAACTTTGCCTTTTAAAAGTGTTCAAATAGTTTCCGAATTTCGCAGCGCTGATCATGACTCGAGACACCCGGCGTGATCATGAGGTATACTGGTATAGCAGTTATATAGTGAAATAGAAGTTTATATGTTATCATGTGCACACGTGCGCTTGTTATGAAAGGGGTCGCGCACACTCCGCAGGTTTCCTATTGCGCCTCGCTTAGCCACTGGAACCGACGCTGCACGTTCTGCTGTGTCCTCGTCTGCGGCATGACTGCCCGTAGCCAAGGTAGTTCTAGTTGCGCGTCTTGATGAGGAGAAGCACGTGCGCAAAAAATCACTGTCCGTCTGGGAATTGGTTGCGACAGCTTGGGTCCTAGATGGCTTCATCTACGCTGTTCATATTCGGTATCTAGGGTCAACTAAATCGATTTTCACGTTTCGAAACTGGGCAGTTTACATGTCCTTGGAGTGCGTATAGTAGCTTTACGACTGAGCATTTTCGTAAGCTCGTACTCGTCAAGATCACTAACCCTAACCCTGACTTTTATGGTTATTTACAATTTTAGACATTACTTTTTCAGTCGCTCCATAGTCCCGTTAGCCAGGCCAGAGGCAACGGCCCTGGAAAATCGCTCAAGTTCAAGTTGCAATATACCGTAGTTTTACTTTCATCACTCGGGCGCTATTGCATAATATTAAGAGCCCATAATACTTTTATTATGACTTGATAACACCTACCGGGATTGGATAGTATAATAATGAAATTCGGTTATATACAAATATGTGCGTAGTGTGTAAATAGTAATAGTCAATCTTGGTGCGTGTTTGTCTGCGTGTGCGAACGAGCGAGCAAACTTAGCGTGCGCGTGCGTGCGCGTAGGTGATCACTACGACCACATACCACGCGAGGTGTAACTAAGGACGGCGGGACTTGTATAAGAATGAAAGTAAACGTCAGCAACTCCTGCAACAGCTTTCTGGTACTGGTATGCCCTTATCTACGGGCTGACCTGCGCGCGTTGCGGAACTTTTGTGTGTTTACCGCTCTCAGGTTTAGTTTAACATTCCGATCTTTAGGCGAATTGCAATTTCAAGGCTCACTATGGAGTTTTATTACCATCCTCTCATCTGTGTCTGCACGACTAGCCACACTGACTTACATGCATACAAATTGCGCCGGTGCTCCATCCCCCTATTCATAGGCGCCTGACCAAGGTCAGGCAAGTAATACAGAAGTTTACGCTAACCTGGCACGCATCACACTTGATGTGACCCATGCATTCACGCTTACTGCTATTGTTTGTGGCATTCTTGCGGACAACGTGAATAAGTAATGATTGTAAACATTATTAAATATATATATATTATTATATATATATATATGTATATATATATATAATATATATATATATATATATATATATTATTATATGAAGGGCGCATAGATTAGGTGTGTTATTATGTGATTAAGTTATATATATACGTATCAGTATGTAATCTTCCGCTTCATTACTATAACCATCGTTTTTGTAGAAAACCTATAGAATTACATATTACCAAGTACATACTCTCATATCATACGTCCGGCACGTGTACATATCAACACTGATAAATACGTTGTTAATACAGGTATATGCCATTTATTGTTTATTCTTTATCATTACTGTACCGGATCGTGCGAGGTTTCCTCGGTGTGGCTCCCGCGTTGTCCATGTTCACGCACAGTGCAAGTGAAGCTGATAGGGTCTGTGTCTCTCTGGGTACTGCCGGAACGTACCCTGGGTACTCCGTAGCGCACTAGGCGTAGGCGACTTCCTAGCCTCGTTAGTGGAGTAGGCGAGGTACGGTCCGGCATATTTGAAAGTTACTAGGGTACGTTCCGGTATACCGGACCGTACCCAGGGTACGTTCCGGCAGTACCCAGGGAGACATAGACCCTGGCAGCGCAAGTGAAAGTGCCGTTATCACCGCCGCATTGTTTATGACCTACTGTTCTCATTCGGCTAGAAAGCGACAGTGACTCGTGTGGCACATGAGCGACTAGAAGAGACGTGCACCCGGAAGCTTGAAGAGAGTGAACGTAAAAAACAGCCACGGGCAGGATGGTGCCTATAACTCTCGGCTGTTACGGTTCTAGTTGAAGAAACTATGCACGGATGTTGTTGAAAACTCGGCTCTCTTCTCGAACGTGACCCTGTTTTCAATAGTCCATTCCTGGTTTTACCAGTGCTCAATCGCCGCCACTACCACCCGCACACTTGTCCGCCAGATGGACTCGCTGAACATTAGGGTTCTCGTGCAAAATACACTGTAGCGTTGAAATGCTTCACACATATTAAAACTGTCTTTCGCTAAGCGAAAACGTGGCAATTAGTCACCGGTGCCAATTGTAACATTTTTAATACAAAAACCTTCCTTGTAAATGTCTATACGCTTTTATAAGTGTCATATAATTTTATGCGAATTTTCAACGGTAGACGTTCGTGCGTACCTATTTACATTTAAATAGGTGTACATTTATTAATTATTTATTAATTTAGGTGTACATTTTAAGCGCATGGCAACGATGCTATAAAGTACAACAAAACATGCAGTCTCACAAGGCAGAGCCATGTTTGGTGGTCGCGCATAATTTCACGACCGTATACGTGTCCTTGGCGTTGTCCAGCACAGACGGGGCGCTGTCGGCGCACGTATATACTGACTACTACACGTATCATGGGTGTGATCCCAATTAGCTAAGCATGCGGTAGCCGCGAACGTTTCCCGAGTGGCATACTTTAATTCTTATCTGCCGCCACCCTTCGTTTTCGACATGGCACGCTACCTTGGGAATAACGCGCTGGTTTCCCGCCGAGGGACAATGGTCGCATGTCACGTAGATACGCGGTTCGATGACGGTCGGGGCCTGTCTTGTCTACGGTAGCTCTAGTAACTATAGCCCGCGTACGCCGTACGCGGGCTATAGTTACTAGAGCTATGTCTACGGCAGAAGAATGAGGCTTTGTACGGTGCTGAACTGTGATTACCATCATTTGATGAAGCGACCGTGTCAGTGTTAGAACGTATAAACGACCAGGTTTTGCCAAGGTTAGTGAATGTCAATGCCAATGTCAACTGATGCTGGGAACGGCAGTGTTTGCGCTCGATCACGGCTATAAACGTCATCAATGCAATAACATGTCGGAAACGACTAACCAATGTGTGTGTAAATTATCATTGGATTCAACGACGAATTTTTAGCTTGCGTTCTTCTTTCCGGAGAAATGTCGCGTGTGTTTGTGGCTGCTTCCGTTCTTTTAAAAATGCCACTTTAAAATATAATAGTTTAACTTTTCGGCGTTTGTGGGATAAATGTATCGTTCAATCACTATTATTTCCACAGCTAGCGTTGACGTTATTAGAAGGCCTGTATTACGTACGTAGTATTGTAACTTTTATTTCAATTTTTAAAAAAGTTTACAGAAAAACTGATTGACAGAATGAAACAGACGGACGATAAACGTATATAAATCACGGATGTCGCTGCGAACCTCTATCTATAGTGGAAATATGCATAATTAAATTAAATCCTGGGTCATGTGATGTTAATTGAGATGTTCTCGGATTTATTGTAAGGCTTGATAGGCTTGTTCAGGTATTATAGCATATATAATTCCATATTTCGTTTGATTTGTACTTTCAGGATGAACTTTAAAAAATGTTCTCCTTTTTAAAGAAAAAGTAGAACAGGAAAATTTGCTGGGGTAGAGTAAGCGTGTGGCTGCAACTGGCTTCCGGTAGTGAAACGGAATTAGATAATACACCGCAGAGCTGATGTCTGTTTCACGTGATGAAA